AGCAATCTAATCTCCTTCCTTTCCCTTCTTGGAATCTGTGGGTTCCTGCCTGGTTATTCTCAAGGCTGATTCCATTATTCTCTGTGGCTTGCTATTTTATCTGGTTTACAATGTTCTCCCTGTGGGCAATGCCGATCACAACTCAAAGCCTTGCTCCAAGGTCTCTCCTAGACTATTTCCCAGCCCCAACCTGGGCTCCAAAAGTGAAGCTATTATGTACTCACAGAGTGTTCTCTACCAGACCCTGGTCCATTGTCTGTGGACATCTATCAGGCCACTCATTGCTGGCTCTGCACCAAGTAGGTCCTGGAGCTCTTGTGCATGGTTTCCTGTGTAGTTGACAGTGACCAGTTCTCTGTCATGAGGGTGTGATGACTCAGTGCTCTCCTTCCTCTGATTCCCCTCAGTTACAGTGCCTGGTGCAGGGGAGGGGTTTACTAAAGAGACATTGGTTTGAACCGTGTGACATAGGAACAAGCTTGCTGTGTCTTCTGTTGCACTGTGGCTGTTGTATGTAGGGAGGTAGGATCTGGGCAAGGCACCCATGCTTCTAATGGTCGATGGTCATTCTGCTGCCACCTTGGAAAAGAAGCTCAAATGTTCATTTCACTCCACACCTCACTCCTCCTCTGTCTTCACTCTGGCTATGAGGTGGGAAGAAATCCAGGAGCTTCACGGGCTTTGGGATAAGTCCCAGCCCTCATCGTCCCCCAGTCTCCTCTCTCCAGATCTCACAGATGTCAGCAGCAGGCCGACCTTCACCTCCCCAGCCCTCCCTGCTTCCTTTATACCTGTACCCCTTGTGTCCTTCACCTACCCTGTTCTCCCCGTCGCTCCCAGGGTCAGCGCTCTCCTTTGACCACCTGCAGCCTGCAGCCTCTTCCACAGACCCTCCCTGCCCTACACTCTTTCAGCCTCTTCTCCCACCTCTAAAGTCTAAACCTTCCCTCGTCTTCTTCCTAACCACTCTACCTGCTTTCTTCACAAGCAATCAAGCCATTAGTGGAGACCGTTTCAACATTAAATGCCAAGCCCTCTTTCCCCACTGCCAGCCATTGTAACAGCTGCTCCTCAGTACACAGTGTCTGCTCCCTGGCCTTGCCCAGCCCCACTTCTTGGTACTTCCCCTCATCCTTGACCCTTCTAAGACATCGGTCCTACGGGTGTTTCCTTTCTCCCTTCATCATTGACTTTCACTTGTGTTTATCATTAGCGTTTGGTCAGGGGGGGGTCATCATCCTCCCCCTCCATAAAGCAGGAGGGGTTACACATAGTCCAAGCAGCTCTTCCCAACGCTATTGTCTTAGTAATTCCTTCTTAGTTCACCCCACCAGGCCTAGCGCATGTGGCCCACAGACTTTGTTCAAATACCTCTCTATATTTGCACACCAGAATATAAATTCTGAGCATTTTTTGTCTCTATGGTCAGCGCCATGTTCCTAATATACAGCAAGAAATGTAGTAAGGTGTCAGGAAACCACTTGTTAAATAATAGTTAATAATTGTTAAGAATAGTGATGGTATTTTCTTCTACGTGTTCACAGTCACCCTGGCAGTAGTCAGCTAAAGATTCCTTGTGGTTAGACCAGGCTATCCCCCCACACACACTCTCCACCCCTGCTCCCAGCCTTTCCCAGCCTAGCAAAGAGAAGCCATTCCAAGTGCATTGGACAGGGTCATCAGCATTGGCCTCATGGCCTCCTGGGAAAACCATGAAGCCAGTTCAGTAGTCAAAATTGAATCCAGACATAAAGTCAGTGGCTGAGCACATCATGTTCCTGGTCTGCTGTGCTGCTGTTATTTAATTTAATAGTGAGCACCAGGCCAAAACTCTGCTTTCTGCCAATTTGGAACGAACCAGATGCTGCACTGGGCAGCCCTTCCTGTCTTCCGAGTTTCTTGTTTTCCTCCCACTAGACATTGTATCAGAGACCTTTAATGATGGCATCTAAATGCTCCCTTCCTTTTTCATCCATGAAAACAGTCAATGTCCCTACATTCACAGATGTAGGGTGTCTTAGTCACAGTTGTATTGCTGTGAAGAGACAGCATAGCCAAGGCAACTCTTATAAGAGGAAGCATCTAATTGTAGGCTTGTTTACAGTTTCAGAGGTTTAGTCTATTGTCATCATGGCTCGGAGCATGACATCATGCAAGCAAGTGCTGGAGCAATGGTTGAGAGCTACACTGTGATGTATAGGCCAAGAGAGAGAGAGAAGCTGAACCTGCCATGGGCTTTTGAAGCCTCAAAGCCCACCCCCTTCCCCCAGTGATGCACTTCTTCTGACAAGGACATACCTCCTAATCTTTCTAATCCTATCAAAGAGTTCCACTCTGCTGACTAAGCATCCAAATATATGATGAGCCTATGGGGGACATTCTTATTCAAACTCCCACACAGAGAAAGGAATGAGAACTACCCAATGTCATTGACCTAACCCTATATATCCAAAGAGATGAGAGATGGGAGAAGATCACCCACTCTCAGGGAAACCCACACAGACACCCATTTCTGGAAGGGCACAGGGGCCTAGTACAATGTAATGAAGGCAGGAGCTGCCTGTGCTGAGAGAAGCCCAAAAGCAGACATGCGTTAGGGGATGGGGGTCCCAGGCAGACCGCCACCTCCTGCGGAGACATCCTTCTGCTTCACACGACAGCTACCATGGTCACATTGCTGCAGTGCCACTCGGGGCTCCAAAACATTTCATTCTCTTGGCCCACAAGAGGAAATGAGTCCGAAGGGAGGGTGATTTTGAGCTTCCGCTGGCTGTGTAACAATGCCCTGCCATGTGTCCCTAAAAGGACAAAGGCTGGGTGAGCTGCTAGCAGTCTTTCCCCACTCACAGCTGCACCATGGCCTAGGGAAAATGCTCAAGGGAAAATACCTACTCACTTGGCTGGCAGAAGCAAGCCCATAACTGTTTGTGGCCCTCTCTTCCCTTGCAATGTGTGAGTCAGATCATTCCATTTTTAGCTGAGAATGTTTTAAACTGAAATGTATTTTTTTCCTAAATTCCTTCTTTCTCAATTGGTGTATTTACTCTCTACAAAAAAAAGCTTAAAATCATTTTTCTATGTTGAAAATATATTTGGAGAACTAGTAGCCCCTAGCTAGCAAAATAAAAGATAAATAAAAATGGCTGCCAGTATTTGAAAGAAAAACAGAAGATTATTTTGCAAGTTACACATTTAAAATTGGAAATTAAAAATAGAAGTGGTTGGACCTCCATTTCTGGATTTACAATGTTACTTTTTGCATCTGTAAAGTTTTCATCCTCTTAGCACCTATGTTTTTCCATAGTTTTTTTTTTCAAACCAATATATTTAATATAACAGTTTCCTCTGCATCGGCCACCTGATGCTGTGCCAGGTCAATGGCAGTGAGTGTTCTTCAGATATAATAATTACAGAATATTTATCACTAATACTTTGAACATTTAACTAGACAGCGGGTTTGAGGGATACCCATCCCCCCCCCAAAAAAGGGCAGGATTTCCTGTCCTCTTGACACTGTCAGAAGTAAAATTAATAATAATAATAGCCATCAGAAGTTGCCCCGAGGGCTTCTACTTACAGTGTGCGTCACTGGCAACCATGAAGGAAGGTGCATGCTGGGATGCTCCTTTTTATTAAAAGTCGGTCACTGAGGCCGACTAAGCGGCAGGAGACGGGACATCTGGGACAGTCGCACTCTCTTTGTAGTGAAAAGTATGTGAGGGTGCCCTGGAGTCTTCTGTCCTCTAGTCTACACCCAGCTTGATCAGGCCAGGTCACAGCCATGTGCTCTTGAATGAAAATTGTGGTATGAGTTTAGTTGGAAAGAAACGGGTCCACGTGCTTCCAAAGGAAACCTGGGCAGCCGTCACTCACCCCGCCCCTTCCACACGGTGACCTTGGTCAGCTGTACAGTGGGCACAGACAGAGCCAGTGCCGCTTTTCAAACACAGAGGAGCACGCTGGTGGAAAACACGATGGAAAGGGAGAAAGAGCAGGTACAAACGCTCACTCTTCGTTACATTTTCACCAACAACGGAAAAGGAGCCTAGGACGAGAAGTTTGCACATGAAATTGCTCTGTTTAGGAAAGGTTATGCGGTGGTCCAGACACCAAAGGCCACCGTACCCTGATGAGGCAAGGAGAGAACTCCTTTAAAATGTGGGTGGCGGTGAATGAATTGGACATTACGCTCATAATAGTCTTCATCCCGAACTCATTTAGCAGAGGAAATGGATATTTCGTCAGACATAGGTTTGACATTCCATCACATTATACCGTGAGAGGGACAAACGGTGTGTTGGAAACAGGCACGAAAGCGAGCTGAGGCACAGCCGTGCTTCTAAAGCCCTGGTTATCTCATTTAAACAGATATGAACTGTGGGTGCTGGTGGCATGGTCACCAGCTGCTACTCACTTGGTGAATAAATTGCTCACAAGGATCCTTTTGCTTCCCAGATGTGACCTAGATTCAGTTTTCCAAAGGTGTTGGGGGTGGGGGGTTCGCTATTGTGTTGAAAAAAAAAAAAAAACAATTGCTGGGTTTTAAAAAAAAAAAAAAGCATGGTAAATGAGCTTATCTCACTTTCCCAGGTGTTTGGGCTAATGTGTGATGGAATTATTGCTTCATTTATGAAAAATAATTGAGGAAAAATGTTCCAGCAAATCAAATTTGGAAAAAGGATTAGGGCTAGCTGTTGTGCTCCTAGCAAGTTTTTAAATGGGAGGAAGAACGGGAGCTAAAAGATATAATAAAAATATTTAAAAGTGCGTTTGAGAAGTCTCTTATAAAAGGGTCAGATGTGGGGGTGCTGTGGCAGAATGAACAATGGCGGTGCTTTCAGCACCTAGGAAAGCTGCCTAAAAAAAAAAAAAAAAGAAAAAAGCCAAAGCCCATCTGTCTGCTGGCTCTGATAAGTCATATTCTGTTGAATGCAGGGGGAGACATTTAAATGTAACGTCTTTATTCTGTCTGATACACGTGTTCTCCTTTTCATCTCCAGGAGCTGTTACTCCCAAGCCAGTCCCTGAACCTGAGAAACAAACAGACCACACTGTTAAAATTGCCGGAGTGATCGCGGGCATCTTGCTGTTTGTTATCATATTTCTTGGAGTTGTGCTGGTCATGAAGAAGAGGTGAGCTTGCAGCTGGTTGCCCAAAGTGGAGCTGGCCCTCATTGTTTGCCAGGTCACTCTGTGTGTATGAAAAGATCCAGTTACTGGGTAGGCAGTGGTGGCCAAGACACAGCTGTGACTGTGGTGGTGAACATTTTTCATCCTGTATCGTTTGCAGTTAGGGGGTAGAAATTTGGAGTGAATGCTTGGGGTTTTGTGAATGTAAAAAGCATATCATGCCGAAATGAATACAAGGACTTTATTTCTTCCCGTGGGATAACATAAAAGCTGTGTGAAATTGTTTTTATCTCCTGACAAGTATTTGGTCCTGACGAGCGACAGTTCTTGTGCTTGATCCCTCCCAACTGTGTGAGGAGGAGGATTGCTCTCCCATCATAATGAAAACTATGAGGATGAATTTCTTGAGCCAGTGTCCTATGTTGGCCACCATGCTAGAGCAGTTAATCCGTGCAGTACCCCATGAGAAAGCAACCTCAAAGATCAGCCCCAAAGTAAAAAACAAAAACAAAAAAACAAAAAAACAGGGCAGCCATAGGCATTAGAGCAAGTTCCCTGTTACTGTATGGTTCTGTCTGGCTAAGTGAACTATCGCTCATTGGTGGAAGAGATGAGGAGCTCTGGTTGTGGTAGGTAAGTGATTATTCCTAAATGGAAAAACATTTAGTGTCGACTTTGGTGTGAGTTTTTAAAAACCCGACTTAATAATAAAGTCTTCAATTTATTTAAAATGACAAACAAAAAATATAGATGATTTGGAAGCAGTGCGGGTAAATGTCCCTAAACGGAGGAAGTACCTGAGACTTCTAGCTGCTTCCCTCTGTGGTTAAAAGCAGTTGTAGCCATGGACTGAGGATATGGACGAGGACAGAGGAGGTGACGCAGGAGAGCTTTCCAGAGTCTTATCGTGAAGGTTATGTGGCCATGGAAGGAGGCTGGACTCCATATGGAGTCTAGCTGATGGGGGTAGCAGCTAAGTTTTATGTTCAGACGTGAGTGTAGCTAGGAGGGAAGGCTCTCGTAAGGAGACTGAATGGAGAGGGGGTAACGGGGTAATTTTCAATAGCTGTTGGGAGGGAGAAGGAAAGTCTGGAAGAAGCCTAGCTCTTCTTGCAGCAAGGCCGTGGTGATGACACTGTTCACCTGAATGTGAACCAGAGAATGACCAGAAGACACCTGACAGCAGAAGGGAGAGTTCAGTTCTGGACTTTTGGAGATGAGGATCCCATGATGTGGGTGCACTCCCAGGGTGTACATCCCTGGTGTGTGGATATGCCTCTTGGACCAGAATAGTCCTGACTCAGAAGCTCTTCAGTGTGAGCTTGAGGAGTTCAAGGAATGTCCGAAGTAAAGATAATAAGCCTTGTATTAGAGCAGTCTGTAAGTGAGTTCATTATCAGGCATGCCAACCCAGCTAACTTTGTCATCTTGCTTTTTTTCACGCGTCCTTTGTCCCTTGTCATGTGTCCTCTGTACTACTCTTCCTTTTCCTATCTCAGTGTTCTCTTCACATTTGATTCTTTGTTTTCTTTTGTGAAACAAGGTTTCACTCTATAGCCCCAGCTGGACTTGTGAACTCAAGATCTGGCTTCCAGCCCTTGGGTGCTGGGATTGCAGGCTTGAGCTATCGTGCCTCGCATTGATTGTCATTGTGTCTTTATTTCCCTTTCTTCTTCCCCACATTTTGTACTGTTGTTATTTTAGCATATCTCTTTCTTCATGTGCTTCATCACTCATATTTTTCTGGATGATCTTTGATCCCCACCTCAACATTTATGTAGATATCTTTTGGGGGATATCAGTGATGTTATATTGTTTTTAACATTTACCAGGGAAACATCTCAAGTAAAAATACATTCTTTATTGCCTAGATATTCAAACTGAAGATATCCAAGACTTATTTTAAATTCTTAGACTATATTGGCTCTTTGTGTCAACCCGGCAAGCTCTCTGTGAGGAACAGCTTGAAATGTAGTAATCCAGTAGCCCTTGTGACCTCCACTAAATGCTAACTAATCCTCCAAGGGTCTTTTTCTGCTAGATTTGTTCATTTTTCTACCTAGGTCTCTCAGGTAGTCAGAGGGTTGATGCTATAAATTATGCATTTGAGGAGATTGCCTCCGGTAACATATGGCCTTGATACAACTTTAGACTAAAGCCCCATAAGTCACGTCAGATTTTACATGATTATTTACTACACAGTAATTTTAACAGAGCTGTCTGCGCAGCATGTATCACTGTATTTGCTTTCTCTGAAACAGAGACTGTGTTCTCCAGAAGACAAATTAGCCAACACCCTCTGCCTATAAATGTGACTGACACTTGAAAATTTAGGCTTGTGCTCCACGTGATGGAAATCCTTAAAACTTGGAATTGTTCAAGGCTTTTTTTTTTTTTTTACCAAAATTCAAGTTTAAATTTTACAAGCACCATTTTTAGACAGAATGGTTAAAGCCTCGCATGAATCATGCATCGGTTGCCGGGGTTTCACTGGTGCGTAACAAGCGTGTTTCATTATTTAAGCTACCCAGTGGGTCTTCAAAACATCCTCTTTGTTCCATCACTTTAAGCCCTGGGATGGTGGTCGCTGAGCAGCTGATCCTTCAGCCACATTTCTCACTGTCCCACAGCAGATTGTCAATAAATAAGGAGAGGCCAGCGGGAATGAGGAGAGAGAATGAAAGAGAATGGTCTCAGGTGTGGATTTCTACACAGAACTGGCTGTTTTTTCTAGGTGACAATTAGTGTTATCAAACTTAGTAGAGATTTCTGTTTGTGTTCGTACCCCAGGCTTTGTTCTACTGTGTCTTAGCATTTCTGTAAGGAGGCATTGTCAGTCACTAAGATAGCGAACACCATTTTGCCTTCTGAAAGGACAGTCCTGTGAAACAATACTTGTTGATGATAGAACTCTGACAAACAACATAAAATCTATCAATTCACGGAACACTTTAGCATATAGGTAATAGTGACCAAGAGCTAGCATGGCCATGAGGAGTGCATCACAGTACCCTATGACTCTCACAAGTCTGTTAGGCTTTGCCTGAACTAATGGTATGAAAGCTTTGCTAACACAAACGCATGCATGCATGTGCACACACACACACACACACACACACACACACACACACACATGTGCATATGCACACACACACATGCACGGACGCACACACACATACACAGGCACACACAGGCACGCACACACACGCGCGCACACACACACACACATGCGCACACACATGCACGGGTGCACACACGCACACACACACACACACACACAGGCACACACAGGCGCGCACACACACACATGCGCACACATGCGCTCGCACACACACACACAGGTACACCCGAGTGCCTTTGGTAAGACCCATAGATTTGTTTTATCTGTGGGCAAGTCAGTGTCTTCAGCCCCTGTCAGTGAAGTGGCTGGGCAGCAAATGCTGAGGAAGGCTGTAAGGCGAATGGACATCTAGAAAACGGAGGCTTTATCACAGAGCGCCATTGCAGCACGCTCTCATAATTAATTTACAATAGTGCAAATTGGAAGATTTCTTCTTAACCATATCTTACCCACTTCTGATTTAGTGCATTTGTGTAAATAAAAATACCTGAGTTTTCAACATTTTCCATAAGGAATAATTTGTCTCAATAACAGTTTGGCAGACTTTGGTGTATCGCCGCTGTCGATTTTACTGTGATTAATTATATTTGCTGTTGTTTCTAAAATTGTTGTAGATCTTACATAAGTTTGAGAGCATTTGTATTAATTATAATTATGTTCCTGTCTAAGCCACCATGGTGCATAGCGATCTCAACAGTTGTGACTATTGAAAAATAATTAAAGAGATATGAGTTGTTATGTAAGATAGCACGCAGGAGCCATTCTTTACGGAAGCACCTGTCAGGGATACACGTAACTATCTTAGCCCTGAAATGCACAGCCCTGTCACCTGTCTGTGATGCATTTTACAAATGAAGCAAGTTATTAAACACTTAGTGCCCACTCTATTGTGTTGAAGTGATACAAGTACTACCTAGAAGAAATCTGCCATAAAAAGGGAGGTATTTCTGAAGACACCATGAAACAAACAAACAAAGATAAGAGGGAAAATTTGATGAAAACCCTGTTTTCAAAGACATGCCTGACGTGTGTGGCTGGAGGCAAGCTGATATTGACTCTGGTCCCCTGTTCTTACACCTACACTGTATCCCATCGCGACCTGTATGCGAGACAGACCTTAAGTGTGATGCTTAATTCAAATCCCAGATTCAAAAGTCATGTGCCATGAAAGTGCATAGAGAAGCATACATGTCAGTACGTCGATAATTCAAATCCCAGTTTCAAAAGTCATGCGCCAGGAAAGAGCGTGGAGAAGCATACAGTCATGTGCCAGGAAAGCGCGTGGATGATGTCAGTCCGTCGATTCCATGTCTCTCCGTGGCATATGTGCATTGAGCATGTTCTCATCTCAATAAAGACCGGATGTCGATACTTTGTTCCGCAGCACATGACTCAGCATGCTTGACCCTGGCTAGCTGTGCACAGGAGAGGGTTGGCAGGTCTGTTGATCACCTCCTGCGCTCCAGGATTCCGGGAGACACAAAGGGAAGCCATCTTTCACCCTCTAGGACTCAGGATGCAAAGGTCCTGCTTAGCAGCTGGGAGGGCTGGGTGGCCGAAAGCGTCCCTCCGCACAGATGGACACTAAAATGGCATCAGTGCTTGGCGACCACTCGAAGGCGCTGCAGAGGCTTGGCTGTGGCACCACACACAATACCTTAGCAACCAAAACCTGCCTGAACAGACCTCGTGGCTGTCCACCGGGTGGGGGCAGACGTCCTCAGTGTACACGTGCAGTGACGCCCAAGGCCGCCTTCAGTCCTGCTTGTCCGACTGGCACAGTCCAGAAGGTTGGGACAGGCTTCTGAACTACCTTAGTGCCGGGCACCTCAGGGTGCCATTGTCCTCCTGATTCCTGGTGTTATGGCCGGGTGCACTCTCC